CAAATAGTCTCAACATTTTTCAGTAGAGAAAAATCCCCACTAGGGCACCTGGGTGGCTCAGTCGGTTAAGCGTTCAACTTCAGCTCAGGTCATGATCTCATGGTTAGTGGGTTCAAGCCCTGTGTCGGGCTCTGTGCTGACAGCTCAGAGCCTGGAGCCTGTTTCAGATTCTGTGTCTCCCTCCCTCTCTGACCTCCCCTGCTCATGCTGTCTCTTTCTCTCTCAGAAATAAATAAAACATTTACAAATTTTTTAAAAAAAGAAAAAGAAAAATCCCCACAAAACTAGCTTCAGAGATTTTACTCAGAAGTGCAATGCCCCAGGGATGCCTGGGTGGCTCCGTCAGTTAAGTATCTATCTGACTCTTGATTTTGGCTCAGGTCATGATCTCAGATTGAGCCCCACACTGGCTCTGAGCTGACAGTGTGGGGTCTGCTTGGTATTCTTTCTCTGCCCCTCTCCCACCTTCAGTCTCCCTTTCAAAATAAACTGGAAAAATAAAAAGAAGTGTAGTGCCCCAACTAAAAATTCAGGTGCTGTATACAGATCAAGAGCAGAAACAATACTAGAAGATAACTAGTAGATCATCATATACAGTAAAAGTAAGAAACAACAAACCTTAGGAACTCAAGAGTTTTAAATCCATGGGACACTTTGGTGGCTCTGTCAGTTAAGTATCAGACTCTTGGTTTCAGCTCAAGTCATGATCTCACAGTTTGTGAGTTCATGCCCCACATTGGACTCTGTGCTGACAGTGCAGAGCCTGCTTGGGATTCTCTCTCTCTCCTCTCTCTCTGTCCCTACCCTCTCTCTCTCTCAAAATAAACAAACTTGGAAAAAAAATAAAAAATGAAAACTTTAATAACAGTTTTAAATCCAATCTTTCAAATCTTACTAATTATATTAGAAAGTTTTAGAAAGAGCCAAAGCTTTGTATAAACTAAATAGATCTTGTATATATATTTAATTATTCTATTTCAGGCTGCTGGTAGGTCAGGGATTAATTTCTCTGCAGTCTTCACAATCAAAGAACTTGGATTTAAGTCTATTTTATTTTTGTCTATAAAATGATAATGATATTTACTTCTTAATATTGGGAATTAATTACTGTAAACTATAAAGCTATCTGTAGATTTCAATTAATAATTGATAATTAATAATTAGTATACAGGTAGTTCAACTCAATCACCAAAATTAAACTGCTTTCTCTGCAGTAATATCACTTAAAAAAAGAAGACTCTTATGATCTCATAATTCACAGAAGTGAGTTTGGGAAAACAATGATAAATTATATAGCACCTAAAATCAATTCGTCTCTACCATTTTTCATTCTTCTCTTTGCAAGCCCACATTTTATTCTAGGTATCCAGACTATTAAATACAATCTTGTTGGCACTGATCAGGCCAACTACTCCCATAACTTTCCAGTCTGATTACAATTTCCTGTTTCTTATTGGCTGAAAGATTGCAGGAAGAATCCAAACAGCTGAAGCATTCAAAATTTTTGGAGAAACAGCACTCACACACATGTACCCATCATTTACATTTAATTATATAAACAGTAAAAGAATGGAGTGTAATTCAGGTTCCCAACTATTAACCTTCTAACCATCGCTGCCACCCTGTTTGAAGTCAGTAATATTTTAAATCAATTCTATCTTATCTTAAAACCCATTTTTAAGCTAGATTTCTTACCTATTACTTTTTTTGGAGGGGGGGAACAAGTCTATCTTTTGAAATGAGCAAGAGTGCTCCATTTGCAGTTTGGTTGAAGAAATTAAGAAAGATTACACAACCAGCCTGAAGTGGTGACATAGCTTGAAAGCAGAGTTAGAATGTGAAGTAAAACTTTCTAGAGCTTTTCAGAGAGGAGGGTGGAAGAAGAGGCAGGCAGAATCTCCTAACACAGATAATCATTTTTAATGGAGTTAATTTTTTGGCACCAAACTGGAAGGCCTTTTCCTGGTGCATCTGTCTAGCTCACCAGATAATGGAATGTGTGTAGAAGGCAGACGGGCAGCTTTCTGCTGGGCTGCAAAGCATCCATGACATTCTATCTGCAGTTTTCTGTTATTTGGGCGCAGCCTCTAGATCTGAAGCAAGGTAAAACAATGTTGGTTTAGTATTTGGTCCTTTGCATGGGAAATGTCCTTGAGAAGTCAAAATATTGGGACTAATTTACTATAGAAACCCAGGGCAGCTATTTGCATCAATGCTCCCCCCTCTCTCTTCCAGCCACCTCCCTAACAGTGGACTGAAGTTGGTGAGGAGGTGCAGGGCCACATCTGGAGGCAGATGGACCTAATTTTCTCTTCTGACTCTGCTAACAACTTGACATTGGCGGGATCTTTAACTTCTTTGAATCCCAGTGTCTTTGTCTGTAATAATATGTACTTTAGGGAGGTCATAAAGCATACAAAGAGATTGTGTATATAGTGCCTGATACCTGGTAAATATTCAACATATGCTAGGTTTTAATAAATTCCTGATTCTCTTGACCATCCAGTGATGGAAGTGCAAAGTGAGATGTAGAAGCAAACAAGCAAAAACCCCACAGACCCATCAGAATCACTTCTATAAATCATCCAAGGCTTCTGCCCTCTGATTAAAAACAGAAAATGACTACATTCCAAATAAGTTTAACAACAGAAGATGCTTTTGCAGAACTCCGTCAGAATGATGGGGTGTCTCATGGTGAGCTGAAACCAACAGAAGAAATATCTTTTCTATTCCAGTTTCCATTAGCTTATTTGCTATCCTACCCTTTGCACATTGTCATCCTTAACTTGGTGGCAGGCTCTAAGGGAATGCCTACTGACACTATTGTCATTTCGGAGTTGCTGCAGAACATATTCCGTATTGCTCATGCAGCTCCCTCCACTACGACCTTCTGAGTTATTAATATACTTGTTAAAAGCTGCTGGGAGCCCAGATTATCGTTCTTTTTTACTTCTAATTTTCTATCAGTACCCTTTCTTGATGGCAGGATCCATTATTTTTAAGAAATACCCCTTAGTTTCATATCACCATCCCTCTTTGCAACATTACCGGTGAGATAAAATGGGAATCATGCCATGGAAATGGTCATATTTAACACGTTTCCAGTATATATTCAAAAAAGTCATTTGAGAATGTTCCTTTTGGAAACCACACATTTCGTGACTAAAGCCCTGACTAACTCTCTGAAGTGTGTTCTAGGAAGTGGATTAAAATACACATACCACAGATTTTTTTTAAAGAGCATTTTGCGTATTTGTGATGATTATTTGTAAATCTTTGTAACTTTTGTAAAACTTAGAAAGGCAATCCTTGAACCAACCCCGAAGAGTGAGCTCTGTGGTGGGGGAATAGGGTTGGTGCTGGTGCATGCCCAGCTACTACCCCAGTGCCTGGCACACACAAGGCATTCAATAAGCATTTGCTGATATATTTTAGTCTTACTCTGTAGAAAGAATTTTATGTGAGATTAATGGAAATATTCTCAAAAGAAGAGCAAAGCGATTTAGTAAACTGGAATTCTGAAACTAAAACTAAGATCAGGATTCTTGGGGTTGGGTCTTTGAGAGAGAAAGCTACAGATCACCCTGGAATTCCCACAGACTAGGAAGGGCAAGGTTGAGTTTTGTCTGAAATACATCCAATTTTAGAAAAGCAAATATAAACACATTTAAAAAAAGTAAGTGATTTCAGACCGCCTGGTAGAGTATGCGACTTAATCTCCAAGCCCCACGTTGGGCATCAAGCTTATTCAAAAATAAAATTAAAACAAATTAAGTGATGTCATATATCAAACACAAGAGCCAGCTCTCGAAATTGCAGTTCTGCCCCTGCCATCAGATATGCCCCCCAGAAAGCAGAGAGTCATCCAGAGGCCAGGGTTTACACTTGACTACAATCCAAGGATCCACCTACATGATGGGAGATTATAAAACCAAAGACAACTCTAAAATGAATCCAGGAGCATGTTAAGAACCAACCCAGGAAGGGGCTGAAGCTTACACAAGTGTGAAAATAAACACAGTTTCTGGAGACACTTTCAATTTAGAAGACTAAGTGAGGTTTACATCTCGGAGCTAAAGATTATAGACCTGACAGATGTCAGTCAAAAGAGGACTTCAATTTTGCTTCTACTTCTCTACTGAGAATGCCTAAAAAGCAGTAGGAGCTACACTAAATATTTCATGTTGGTTATCACATGGAATCTTCACATGTGGTATACTTCAATGTTTTAATTTTTTTAGTGTGTTTATATTTGCTTTTCTAAAACTGGGTGAATTTCAGACGACACTCACTTTCTCTTCCTAGTCTGTAGGAATTCCAGGATGATCTGTAGTTTTCTCCCCTAAACACATAACCCCAAGATCTTGGTCTTCCTTTTAAATTCAGAATTTCAGCTTACTAAATCACTTTGCTCTTCTTTTGAGAATATTTCCATTAATCTCACATAAAATTCTTTCTACAGAGTAAGATTAAAGTGTAACAGCATACCAGAAATCCCCAATCACTATTTTAGAAATGGCAAAACTGAGCTAAGGTTCAGGGCAGTTAAGAATGTGCCTAAATTTACACCATCTAATTTCTATGCAGAACCAGGATCCAATTCAAGCTTGCTTCCAAAAGTCCTTCCACTAAACATTTCCTGATCAGGATGAAACAATTTGTATGAATATTGCTAAAGGGGAATCTTTCTTGAAGAGATGATGAAAATATACAACTGCTGAAAACTGTCACAACCCAGATAAGTTACATGTAGAAGACTTGACATAAAATTAGTATAATGACCTCTAAGGAATCATGGATAATAGGTGAACGCTAAAGACTGGGAAAGCAGCACACTTTACTAGGCGAGGGCCAAGTTTCTTCTGCCTTGATGTCTTCAAGATCCAGCCCAGGGCCTCATACATGATGCTCAACAGATGTTCGATAAATGATATACTACCTTTACACACCTTGTGTTATCCAAAGAGATGAAGAAATTAAATTTATTTTGGATAGTTTCAAGAGGCAGAAATTCCATTACAAGGGGGTATGCTAAAATGAAGACAAAATTCAAACAATGAACGGTGAGGGCTATCTCAAAATGGCAGCGTATTATAAGGGATGTAGGGAGCTGCCGATCACTGAAGTGCTCATTGATTTAAGTACGAGAATGAAGCAGAATGAAGACCCTCACCTCTGCGATGGTTGTCAGGGGTCACCATGCCTTCAGCCTGGTGTCTTGTCTCCCATTCATGGCCGTGAGGAGGGGATGGGGATTTGGGCGTCAGAGAAAGGGTAGATGTTAAAGGTAAGTGACAGAAAGGAATCCAAGACTTCTCCATTCACTTCCCTGGAAGCCTCAACTCCTTATATTATACCAGCTCTACAATACACGTACAGGGAAGGCTTGCATGGCTGCTCTGGGAACTAGTCACCACCAACAGCATTACTCAGGAAAATGAATTCCAGGTTCCCAGTGACTAAGTTACAGATATCCTTACACAACATAATCCACTGAACTGGGGATGGCATAAACATGCATCATTCTCCTTCACCTCAATTTTTTCTTCAACAAAACAGTAGGAATTTGTTAGTATCTGGCTCACTTGATGGTAACTTCTGTAATTTCTAACAATTCCAAATTCATGAAGTTATTTAACAGGCAATGACCTAAAATTTAGACTTCCTAAAATTCTCTTTCTCAGTCACTGCCAATATATTGCAGCTTGGTATGAAAGTTAAAATCAAGTCTGTAGACAGTTTCTTTGTACAAAGGAAAAAATGTAGCTGACTTTCAGATAATGTAAAGGTAATAACATTAACATTTCAAATTTCCTTTCCTCTAACATTGCAGATTCAGTGGTAGCGTATTTCAGGATTAATGCCCTGTGATTGGAGGTCTAATGTGAAGGCTTCACCATCTAGGGGACCACTCAAGTTAGCAGGGTGGGAGAGGCAGTCTGAAAGACCAGAGAACAGGAAAGAAAGGTTCCACATCATGACTCTGCTGCCACCAAAACACAAAGAGAACAGGCACGTGCGTGTACACACACACACACACACACAGAGAGACCCCGTAACCGGTGTTAGCCATGGTAATTCACAAATACATTGCTCACGCAAAATGGGACAGATGATAGATATTTGCATAATACAAATCAAGTGCTGAAAATGAAGTGCTTTCTTTTTTGGGGTACCACTGAGACTATGTGGTTTCAATGAGGATCAATACCACGTGTTTAACTTGCAACTCTGTAAAACCATGATGAAGACTGCATAGATAATGTGCTTTGGCAGAAAGCTGGATGCGGGAAACATTGCTGTGAAAAAATGAAAACAGGAATGATAGAAGTATATTTTCTTTTATATACAAAAACGAAGCCCCGAAAAATGGTTTGTTGAAGTAGCTATCAACAAAATGTTAAATTATTTTTCCTCTGCTTTGGTTAAAACAGCCAAGGAATACCAATCAGTTCCCCTTCCACTAACGGCATATAAACACAGTGACAGGACTACTTTCAGGACAGAATAAACAACTTTTAAGAAAGAAAATTAAATTAATTTTAAACTAAAGTAAACATTTTACCAATAAATAACTTTCATTAAAAGGCAGCATCTTCATCCTACGATCTTGGGCACAACATATACAATCAATGTAAAAAATAAAATTTCTCCCACAACAGTAATTACAGGTGTTAATGCGATAAGTACGAAATGAAATACTTTACTGTGTGTTGAGAAAAAAAATGTTCTAGGAATCAAAAATAAATTTTGAAAACTGACGTTTTCCTAAAATTGTACATTCTAAAATAATTGACTTAATATTTTATTACAGAACATAATTCAAACTATTTTGGTATTTCAATATATTCCTAAAGAAATGGTTAAAAAAAAAAAAGTTCTCATACACCCAAACTGGAACAGTGTTTATAATTCCATTTATGGCTATGGAATGGCAATCAAATTCTACTTAAAACTGAAACCACCAATGATGAAATATACTTCAAAAAAATAAACATTTGGTCTGATAGTCTTTAATATCAGTTAAAAAAGAGACTGATATTTGCTGCTTATGAAAGTTATTTTAATCCAATGTGCAAAAAAAAAGTGCAGCTGTCTACTTTTACTTGAAATACAGAAGACCAACACTTCTACACTATTTACACACTTAAAAGATTTTCAATTTATTAATTTAAGCAACGATATTACATCTCCTATAAATCACGTGCTGCAGAGCCCAAACGCTTGATGACATTCTCTTAAGTGACACAAATGTATGTAAAGAACGTATGTCCTAATTTTGACCCTAAATAAAAATCCAAGTTCAAAAATCAATTAAGAATTATTTTGATCTAGAAAATCCTGGAATTGTTGCAAACATGAAAACCTTGTCCCTGAGAGCCAGGCTCCTATTCCCCCTTTGCTGTCCCTCGGATAACTGGTCTACCACACAAACCCCACCTGCTGCCGATCGACAATGCCCCAAAAGAGAGGAACAAAAAGAACTCAGGCCCCCGACCGCCATCTTCCCCGTGGATTTGCTCAGCCTGTGTTCGGGGACGTGTGACTACATCTTTTGGGGTAAGTGCAGGCAATGAAAATGAAGAAACATTTTAGCAAAGCAACAATTATTTGTCCACCAAAAAAAAAAAAAAAAAAAATAGTGAAAAACAGTGATATAAAATTAACAAACCAAATACAAATCTAATACCATTCTGCACTTCCGGAACTTGTATTCGTGTCCGCGCAGTGTTCTTGGTCAACCACCCACCAGTATTTTCTGCATCTACGTGAAGTACTTTTATTAAGTTATTAAAAAGGCTGTTTTGACCGTTAAGTCACATATAATCGTGATGATCAGGAAATCAATGTACTCAGTGATCACTCTGTGCAGTGCACTCGCCAGCGCAGCAAGTGTCGAGAGGAATTACACATGGAACAGAAGTCTCCCACTTCTGAACTGGACTCGGGAGTTCTCAAATTAAAACCATAAAAAAGAGGGAGGGGGACTTACTGGCAACATTACTACCAGACACCAGACAGGGACAGTGAAACTGTTTGGTCAGAACCAAGGAACTTATTTCCTTGCAAAGTTTTAAAAATACCCAACCAGGCACTGCCTTCAGTCCAGTGAGTACAATGCTCTGTAAGTTTCCACAAAACTACAGTGACTGGCGCTCATATGTGGCAAACGATGCAGTGTCAGGCTCCGGGGCTCAGGCGAAGCGGGGTCCTGTCCCATCACCTCTAGCTACAGGCAATGGTTTCCAGCTGCTGCTCGGCCTCGGCGGCCATGGCTGCTGCCTGCAACTGTTCGGTCTCGCTCTGGATGGCACTGGGGGTCACCTGCTTCCTTTCACTGTGCATATTGTTCTCATGCCTTTTCAGATCCGACGCCTTGGCAAATGCCTTGGTGCAAGAGCCACATACAAAGGGCTTCTCCCCTCTGTGTCGGCGTTCGTGGTCCTTGAGGTGGGACTTGTGTTTGAAGGCTTTGTCACACATGTGGCACGCAAACGGTCTCTCGTTACTGTGAACTCTCTCGTGCTTCTTTAAGTCCGGGGCACGGATAAAAGATTTTCCACACACCTCGCAACTGTAGGGCTTATACCCTGTGTGGATTTTGAGGTGTTCTTTCAGGTGAGCCTGGGTGGTAAAACCTTTTGTGCACATTTCACAGACAAACGGCCTGTCCGCCGTGTGGAGTTTCTCATGCTTCCGCAACCTGCCCTCGTCGGAGAAGGTCTTCCCGCACGCCTGGCAGGCTATCTGCTCCCGATGGTGGCCATACAGTAAGTACTCGAACTTCATGTCACTGGCGGCCGTTGTCCAGCCCGGCGTCTGTTCATCCTTCACTTCGCTCATTCCATCATTAAATGTTAAGGCTTGCGGGGTCTGGGACCCCAAGTCTTTCGATTCGGGGGTCTCCATGGATTCGACCTCCTGGCCGTAGCAATTGACTTTCCGGACTTCCTCACTGCCCAGCTCTTTTAAGATTGCTTCCTGAACCCTGAGCGTTGTCGTCGGCGACTTGCCGTCCTCCTGACTCGGGGGGGTGCCTTCTACTGTGTCATCTGAAGGACTGTCATCCTGGTCTCCGATTTCTTCCACATCATCATCCTGAGTGTCGGCAGCATCTCCAATGGGGCGATTTATTTTGAGGCAGTACTTACTTTTTGATTGACCATTATTTTCATCGGGACTAGACACGTCGCGCTTCTGGGTACAGAGTTTATCCAAAAACCGGATACCAAGAATCTGACCCGATGACATCATTAGGTTAACATCTTCTTTTTTCACAGAAATCTTTGCTGTGTACATGTAGTTCAGGACCTCTTCGAATATATCAGAACGAAGAAAATCGATTTCTATTACTGAAGAGCTATCAACCTCGAGCTTCTTGAAGAGCTTTTTAAAGTAGGTGCTGCAGGCGGCAAGAACACACCTGTGTGCTCGGAATTTTACATCTTCCACTACAATGGCAATATCACAGAATTCTCCTTCCAGGCGTTGTTCATTTAGTGTTTTCAGAAACAGAGTTTTATGATCATCGTCATTATATTTAATGGTTTCAGACATACTGATGAAAAACTCCTACAAAAAAATTTTTAGAAAGAAAGTTTGAGATTTATGACCAATGCTTTTCCAGATACAAAACACAGGTGGGCTTTCATCTCCTGATCAATTTCTAGTAGCTAGCAATTTCAGAAAGTCAATGTCAGCAGTGGGTCAAGAGCAGGCGTACAAAAGACTGATCCTGGTTTGGGGATGTCCATGCTATTACTTCTATTCATCTTCAGTTTAAGAAGTATTTGCTTAGGAATAATTACAGCCACTTTTAGTGGGCACCTGATACATGCCAGGCACTGTCCCATGTGCTCTGCATGGCTTCCCAAACGTACTGATTCAATAACCTCATGACACAGACATTCTTACCCCTCTTTTATACACGGGTTTAGGAACCTGCCCAATAACCTAGTTTATTTACTGGAGAGCTGGGCAACCTACCTTAAACTTGTGCTTCCTGACAACTAGAGGTAGTGACAACAAATAACTTCAAGGTGTAAGAAAGAGGTCCAAGGCCAATAGCCTCTACTCCTGTCGTGTCTACTCTAATTCCACGTACAGAAGAGATTCTGTGAGACAACTACTGGCCTCGGTGTTATACTTCCTTGACAGAAGAGATGCGTCACTGCTGAACTAGAAAGGGATATCACTGCCAAAATATCCCACTTAGTGTCGTCTTCTGGGTTTTTCCTCACCAGCCTTGGGCCACTTCTGAATGAGGGTTAAGGTTTAACATGACACTCGGACAATCAGATGGCATTTGGGAAGACAGTGATAAGCGTCTTCATTCCATCTGGATGCCAATCTATCTGCTATCCGGATGAAAGTGTCATCAAGGCTGGATGTGCTTGGCAAGTGCTGTGAGTAATTTATAAGCTAAAAAAAAAAATCTAACCAGCAGGAGAGAAATCTGGCACAAAAGACCGTTTTAAGGAAGTATCTTTTCAAAATAATGTGTCCTGTATGATTACTTTTTGAAACATTGTTTTCCTTTTAACAAAGCATTCCACTGGAAGAAAGAGAAGTGCTAATGCATAACCGATATGTAAATGTATGTGCCATGCATATATGTTATACATTATATATATTATACATATACACCGCGTTTATTAAAACAAACACCAAACCATATTTTCAAGACTTAATATCCAAAGTTATAGTTACCATGAACAACTCAGGCTATTATCTTAATGCTTCAAACACCAAATTCTTCAGATCAGAATAGCTCTGATCAGAGACGCACCGGTCCTACAAGAGAAAAGGACAAACAAGAATAAGGTAGGACCTTCCTCTATCCCAAATTCTAAACAAGAATATTTTCAAGAATTGATTTTAAAAAATAAACTTTCCTTTCTCGTCCTGCCACTTGCACATGTACCCATTTTCAGGTTGGGAACAGAGAGGAGGGTGACTGGCAGCATCAGGTCCAGCTCTGAACAGATATGAATGAGAACAGATAAAGGCTGTGGCACTTGGGGCACGCAGGGGCTGTACACTGGGATTAGAGGAACGGGTTGGAGAACCACTAAGGAAGTTCTAACAATGCACATGCCCATATTTGCACAGAGGTTGATAGCTACACAGACACAGAAAAAGCCAGTAAGTACCCCTACCCCCACCACATCCTGCTGGGTATGTAGCCCTCCACGTTTACCTCTAGGCTCATATATACATATAGAGTGTACATTTTTTAAATCAATATAAAGTTATAGAAGTGTTCATCCCCCACAGTTAACCTTGGAAGAAAGAGCACAGTAGCTGCTTTCTTCTTTCCACGCTTCTATGTAATGTGCACCTACTTAAACTACACCGGTCTTTATGGTTCTAATTGACAAATCCAGGTGTGTTCACCTCCATCCCTACCGGGTGACTGAAAACATTCTAGCTCTTTGGGAGCTTTTGGGAGTCCCAAAGGGACTCCATCCTGCGGACCAATATCCTGAAAAATATCTTTCCTCTACGGACACTGACCACACAAACTCTGGTGTGTGGTAGGGCCAAGGACTGAGCTGCAATATTCTTACACAAAAACTGTGGTGCAAGACCCGCACTTAGAGACCAACATTCTGAAACCCCTCAAAAGTTCCCTCTCCGGAAAAACAAACACCACTAAGCGGCCGAAAGTAGCAGGGGGCTTCTTATCTGCACAGGGTGAGAGCTAGGCAACATTACTTCCGAAGGTTGCTTCGACTCTGCCTGTCCCCTAGCTGCACCTCGGCCTGCAGTCGTCTCCGAGAGAAGGCATCAACGCAAAACCTTCCCTAGCCACTTTCCACTGTTGTAACTCCCTAGGGCTTGTGGGATGAAAGTGCATGGGCCCAAGGAGAGGAGTGGCCTAGCAGTACCCATGGCGACATCCCACTGGGCTGAATTTGGGGGAAAGGGGGTGCAGTGTGATATTTGGCCCCGCACTCTCAAGCTCGCCGCGGACTATTACTTTCTGCTGAGATGTTCCGTTTGCTAAGTTCAGGTGAGTTAAACGCGAAGATAGACGTTGCCAGTATCTGTGTAGGTGGAGGGAAATATGTAGCCCCAACTACACCTCCAAACAAAGCTGCCCCTTTATTACGGTTCTCCAAACCGCGGGCGCGCTGGGCCGCCGTTACAGAGCAGGGAGCAGGGGCTCCAGCAAAGCCAAACTTACATAAGCAGCGGCAGCCGCCTCCCCTACCCCGGAGCAGCCGCGACAATGGCGACGGCACGACTTCCCGGTTGAAAGCTCGCAACTTCGGGATGGGGAGGAAGCAGGGAACCAAGCGCAAGACCCGAGAGAACTTCAGAGCCTCTCAGGCCTCGCTCCCGTTTCTTTGGGCCCGGGAGGTGTGGGAACGGATAAGGCCGTTTGCATCCCTTCCTAAACAAAAGCTCCCCGCCTCGGAGCCGGGAGGTGAAAGGGCCACTTTTCCTTTCAAAATCGGAGTCCAGCGCCGGCTGGGGGCCGCGGCTCCGCGCCCAGGAGGGAGGGCCGGTGGCGGCGGCGAGCGGGAGCGGGAGCGGGCGTGCGGCCGGGCTCCGCAGCCCCGCGCCGCGCCCCGCGAGCCCGGAGCTCGCGCCCCGCGCACTCCCCGGCCGGCTCGCGCCGGGCCCTCCCCCGCCCTCCCGCGGCCGGGGGCGGGGGCGGCGCGCGGCCGGCTTCCAAGCTCCGCGGGCGCACCCGGGAGTGCGTGCGCGGGGGTCCCGGCCCCCTCCTCGGCAGGCAGCTGGGGGCGGCGCGGCGGGGCCCGCGGCTCGGAGGGGCGGCGCCCGGCGGGCCGCGCTCCGCGCCGGGCTCTGGGCCGTCCCCACCCCCACCCCCACCGCGGTGCACTGCGGCGGTGCGAGCGGGGGCGGCCATGAACTCCGTCGCCGAGACTCGGCGAGCGCGCGCGCGGGGCCGCCGCCGCCGCCGCCGCCGCCGCCGCCCGGCCGCTGTCGAGCCCGCTCGCCGGCCTGCGCCGTCCCTAGGGCGCCCGGTCCCTTCGCCCGGCCCGGCCCCGGCCCACGCCCGGCCCCGCTCGCATCGCGCCGCCAGCGGCCGCCCGCACATCCTGGAACTGGCTGTTGCCCCAGAGCTCGGCGAGAACGCGCTTCTTCCGGGCCGCCCCGCCGCGCCGGCGGCCGGCCGCCCCCGCGCCCCCGCGGCCGCCTCGCGGATGGCCCGGGCCCCTTCCGCACCCCCGGCCCGCGCTTACCTGCAGCCAGGCACAGCCACAGACACTCGCCGTGGGCTCCCCGCGCTCACTGCACGCAGGCCGGGGACGGGTTGGACGCGGGGCGCGGGGGCACGGTGGGTGGCAGTGTATTTTGAATTTTTTTTTTTTTTGGAGTTTGGGGAGGGGGCGGGGTGGGAGGGAATCGTGCACGTCCCTGACGGTAGCAGCCCTCCTCCTGCACGAGCACAGAATGTCTAGCCGGCCGTGAACACCCCCACCGGCACCCCCCCCTTCCCGTGCATGCGCGGTGCGGGCCGGGGGGAAGGCGCGCCACCGGCTTGCGCAGGCACGGAACCCGACAGGGCCTCTAAATGGGCGTGCGAGGAAAGGGTTAATCCGGGACCTTGCGACGCTTTTGGATGGAGTCTACGGGGCCGCCCCCGGAGGGCCCTGGCCTGCGCACGCGCGCGCACGCGCGCGGCTTGGGGCGCGCGGAGCCCGCGCGCGGGAGAGGAGGTGGGCGGGGCAGGGGCGGGGCTTCGTAAGCGGAGGAGCGTAAGCACGAGCGCCGCTCGCGGGCACCCGCCCCGCCTGGTGCTCCCGCCTCCCGCTCAGGCTTCTGGGCTCCCGCCCGCGCCCGGCGCTGCGCCGGGGACGCGGGAGCGCGGCGCTCCCGTGCGTGTGCATGTTCGTGGGGCAGTGCCGCCCTCGGGCGCGCGCAAGCCGGGCACTGCGGCCGCGGGGCTCGCCCAAGGCTCCACGGTGGGGGTTTGGGCACCTTAGCCCTTCGCGCGTACTGGCAGAGGCTAGGACACGCGCTTTCGGACCTTGGGTCTTGGCCAGTGGTGCATTATGTGTATCGGGAGAGTGATAGGTGCTTGATAAACGTTAGCTAAGCAATGGAATAAAATGACATCTTTCATTTGGAATGTGAGGGGTGACCCGAATCACCCTGGAGAAAGGGAACACCCATAAAGCTCTGGATACAGCGAAACCTGCACCCACGCTCTCGCATTTACCCGGACACTCTCAAGTCACGGGGGCTTGAGGCCCTCGCTCATCTGTGTCAGTAGTGAGACTGGACTTAATTTCATTTGAAGATCCCTCAGAGGAATCTGATAACAGCGCTGTTCTTACGTCCGTGTTCAGAACAAGTAATGGCTCCGTTTGTGTTCAAAGCCTGTCTTGTTCCTCCTGATGGTGTGGCTGTGCTTGTGTCTGTCATGGGGACCTGGGAAGTCCCTTCCGCTCCTGGGGTTTTCTCTTCACCAAAACATAGGAAGCTGGACGGAACTACTGCATCTCCTTAGAGTTGCTTATGCGGCTTTATCACATCTGCTTTAACAGCATTTCACAAAAGCACGCATGATTTAACACCTAAAAATTAGAATAGGACCTTCCTCTTGGGCTTGTGTGATGATTACATAGCAAACATTTAAGAAATGATATTATGATTGGCTGTATTCAATCTAAAGAAATTGTAGAGGGTTTCAGTTGATTTTATAGTGTTTGACATTCGTTTCAATGTTCTGAACGATACTTTTATACACATCCTTTTGATGTTCACAAAAGCATGGCATTTAGTAGGTCTACTGAATGAAAAAGGACAGAATGGACCGGCTTTAGGCTCAGACATTCAGTTCAAATATTAGGTACATTGTTTAACTTCTCTGAACCTTAGCTTCTTATTCTCTGAAATGGAGATAACGGAAGCACCTATTAGAGCAGTTGTGTGGATTAAATGAAATAACGCTTGGTTAGGTGCTTAGCTCAAATATTAGCTCCATGGTGTTAAATGACCTGCCCACTTTCCATCAATAGTGGGTTTAAGTGTCAGGGGCAGGACCGGAATGGCCAAAGTTCATGCTCGTGCTCTATACCCAAGTAGCCTCATTCCCTCTAATGCCATGGCTGGGCCTGTTTATTCTTATTTACACAGCTTTTAAGATTACATTTCAATCTTGTTTTGTATTTAAAAGGGATAATAATAATACTGTATCATAGGGTTATGATATCACGCACTAAAGCTGCCACTGCACGTACCAGTGTGGGGACACAGCTAGCAGCACTTAGTTATGGTGCATTGTCGGCTACTGTTTCTCCTTCTTCCATACCACACACTTGCATAGGCTCCCAGACTCAGTCTGCATATATTTATTATCTGCCTACTATGTAAAGATAGTCTGTTTGCATCTGGCTAGGTAAGGTCTTCCCCACACTTGACTCATCTGACTAAATTAAAATAGTTCAGAAGAGATCTCAAGCACTAGACCACACTTCCCAAGTGACAGATTCCTGACATCCTTGGTGTCAAGTAACCCTCTCCTCTCGTTTGTTTTATGGCCTCTGCCTGTCTGTTCCTTCCTTCATCAAGATCACAGGGATGAGTCTAAATTAAAGGGACAACTCTATGGGAAGGAAGAGGGAGGAGATTGGAAACCATACAGGAAGGGCCTCATTCAGACCTGGCACTTTGCCTGGCCACCAGCCTTAACTCAGCACTGCGCAGCACCCATTAGGCCCTCCGTAAATATTGATGACAGATAAGTGACAACCTAGACCTCAGTACCAAGGGGAGTTCTAAAGGTGCATTGTGGGATTGATGGGAGGCAGTGTGGCGTCAGGGCCTTCCTGAAATGCACAGACCTGAGGCCCTTAAAGGAAATTTCTCTCTCCTACCGGGAATGCTGTCACCCTGTGTGGATTTCTCTGTCCAGCTACTTGGCTGGGAGCACCTTGTTTCTCACCTGAGATGCCCACAGACTCCTCCTGGGTGGAGTCTGTTTCTAAGGATTGCGAGGCCTGATGTTCAGGGTGGGTGGTACGAAATCTCAAGTGCCAGCGCCTAGGGAGGTAATGGAGCAGCTCCCAGGAACGTTTGGAAGTGTCAGATCATTGGGGTTCTCCCCGACCTCGGGCCCTGGGACTGGTTTTGACCAGTGGAATATGGGCAGACGAGAATGAGCAAGTCGGGAGCCGAGGCTTGGAGAAGCGGGGTGTGTTCTGCTTGTGTGGTCCACAGTGGGAGGCGCATGCCCATGTCGCTGCTGTCTCTTCAGCCCGGCCCCTCAATGACAAGCCCACCCGAGAGGATGAAGCCGATCCAGAACCTGAGCCCGGGCAAGCCCAGGTTCATCTGCAGGTCCACGACGGAGAAGGAAATACTTGTTTTTGTAACTCCCTGGGAGATGGTGTTTTTTGATTTGTTATCACAGCAGCTCCTGATATGCCTGCACAAGGGAGAATGTCCCACCACCGGCCAGTTAGCAACCTACCGTCACTGCTCTGAGAACACTGGCTGCAGGAAGTGAACAGTAAATATAGCCACTCCTTAGTAACACAGAGGTAGGAATCCACACATTCAACAAATAATCCCATGCCTGATGATACAACCGCACATTGAAACGCATGCTTTAATAAAAAGTTAAAATGTGTAAGATGTGATGGAAATGAGGAACTAGTTTTGACTGAGAAATCCATAAAAGTGTCTGCCAAGATACACATTTAAGGATCAGAAGGATGAAGGAGAGGTAGGCAAAGAGGGTAGACAGCATTTCAGGCACAGCAGGAAGAGTATGAAAGAGAGGGTGGAAGGAGCAAGGGGCGCCTGAGGCTCTGCAGGACAGAGGGACCGGGGCACAGTGAGCAGGGCTTGGGTCAGTGGGGACGGCAGGGCCCTGCACATTCAGGGCCTTGTAGCTGCGCTCAGGGGGCTGGCTTTTATGCAAAGCACAGTGAGAGGCATCGGAGGGTTTTTCTTTTAAACTAACATTTACTGAGGTAAATCTATTAGTCTCACAACTAGAGTCGATTAGGCCCATGGAACGCAGATATGGACTTTGAATTTCAAATACCTCCAATGGCAAGACCACTCACATAAGACTCTTGCCAGAGTTCAGGTTGTGGGGAATGTTTGAAATACAATCAAGTGAAATACCTCCCTTCATTATCTAGCAATAGGAGAAAAGTTAACAATTTACTCATGACATTGGGGGAGAGGAGAAGGGTGGTGATGGGCATGGAGGAGGGCATTTGTTGGGATGAGCACTGGGTGTTATATGGAAACCAACTTGACAATAAACTATGAAAGAAAAAAATAAAAAAGAAATAAATACAGATAAACCATATTATAAATACTAATAGCTCAACTTGTTAAAAAAATAAAATTGAACTTTTCCAGCAAAAAAAAAAATGTTTATTGGGGCGGCAGGTGGCTCAGTCAGTTAAGCGTCCAACTTCTGCCCAGGTCATGCTCTCACAGTTTGTGGGTTTGAGCCCCACATCTGGCTCTGTGCTGACAGCTCAGAGCCTGGAGCCTGCTTTGGACACACATTTGGACTATGTGTGTCTCTCTTTCTGCCCTTCTCCCACTCACCTCTGTGTCTCTCTCTCTCTCAAAATTATTTATTTTTTTCTTTCATAGTTTATTGTCAAGTTTTTAATGTTTATTTTGAGAAATAACTGGAGAGGGCATAGAGGGAGGGAGAGAGAGAATTTCAAACAGGCTCCCTGCTGTAAGCACAGAGCCCTATATGAGGCTCAATCTAAGGAATCTTGAGATCATGACCTAAGCCAAAATCAGAAGTCAGAGGCTTAACTGACAGAGCCACTCAGGCACCCCAGGAAATTTATTTTTAAATAAAATACATTTATTCAACACTATCCTAAGTAGTATAATTTTAGTCAAACTTCCATTTGAGCTGCTGTATGCTTGCTGTTTCTAGCTCAGTTGGTTAAGCATCTGACTTCAGCTCAGGTCCATGATCTCACAGTTCATGGGATTGAGCCCACATTGGGCTCTATGCTGACAGCTCAGAGCCTGGAGCCTGCTTCTGATTCTGTGTCTCCCTCTCTCTCTGCCCCTCCCCTGCTCGTGCTCTGTCTGTCTGTCTCTCCATCTCAAAAATAAATAATCATTAAAAAAAATTTTTTTTAAAAAAAGAAAGATATTATTGCTGTGTTTCAGGATTATTTTAGTGGTCTCCTTAAGAAAAAAAAATACTATAATTACATTACCTATAAATAGAATAAAATGGAAGCAATTAATTTATAAGAGTCACATTCGAATAATCTATGATTATAGAACATTATTCTAAGAAGTATAATTATATCAAACTTCCATTTAGGCCATTGAATAGTCTCTTAATTAATAGCA